ACAAATGCATGAAAGCCTGGGCAGTGGTCACTAGAAAGTTCTGGAGTGACCTGACCACTGACTGTAGTGTGAGAAAGCGGGAGCTGGGTAGAGAAGCTCTCTGAGACCGGGAATACAGGGTAGCACCCATGAATTCTATTGTCTGGGTAGGAGTTAAGGTGGATTTGTCCAGGTTTAAAAGAAGACCTAGTTCTTGAAAAAGTTCACGGACTATGGCGATGTGGTCTCTCACCTGGGTTTCCGACTCCCCTCGGAGGAGCCAATTGTTCAAATAAGGGAACACCTGGCCTTCCCTTTTCCTAAGCTTGGTGGCCACCACCGCCATACATTTGGTGAAGACCCAGGGGGCCGTAAAAATACCAAAGGGGAGGGCCGTGAATTGGTAGTTACAAATCTTACACGCATCTGTAATGTGCGATTCTCCCAGGCACTTCAAACAAGATGAGTGTGGGTCACCACACAGCATAGACTTGTTGCACTTCTTGCAGGGCTTAAAGTCTTGCGGGCCGGGCATACCCTGCTGCGGGCGCACGTCACGCAGGGTAAAAAGAAAACTACAAATGAAGTCTTCAACTAAATCAACAGGTACTTAAATGAAGATTGCTAACAAAAGAGAAGAACAGTGAAGAGAACGACTTGAAGACGAGCTGAGGGTTGTTCCAACGACTGTCACAGTGGTAAGAAGGAACTGAGTGGGTGAGGGGGCCAGCAGGGGTATATATGGGCCAATATATCGGCGCCAATCCATGGGGCTCCCTGCTGGCGCTAAGGGAAAAGTCTCTGACAGCGCGTGCATGCTGCACGCACACACCTATATTGGAATGCACATGAGCAATCACTCAAAGAAGAATCTCTTGTTCTTAGCTGAATAGTAATAGAGAGGTAGCCGTGTTAGTTTTTCCTTTTGTTTTAGCAAGATCAGACTATTTAAAGACTAACAAGATGGTTTAATAGGTGATGAGCTTTCGTGAGGAAGTGGATCTGGCCCACGAAAGCTCATCACCTATTAAACCATCTTGTTAGTCTTTAAAGTGCTACATAGTTTTTCCTTTTGTTCTCAGCTGTTGCTGTGGTTTAGTTGCCACTGCATGGGATAGTGAACCACACTAGGGCTACGTCTATACTGTAGCCTTCTTCTGTAAAAGCTTATGCAAATGAAGCACAGAGTGGAATATTGCCGTGCTTCATTTGCATAATTAATTAGCAGCCACTTTTTCGCAAAAGCGAGCTGTGTAGACAGCTCCTTTTTGTGCAAAGACTTCCTCTTGCGCAAGAGCCGTTCTTCCTCATTTTTTCAGGAAGAACGGCTCTTGCGCAGGAGAGGGTTTTTTGCGCAAAAAAGAGCCGTCTACACAGCTCCTTTTTGTGCAAAAGCGGCTGATAATTAATTATGCAAATGAAGCAGGACAATATTCCACTCCGCGCTTAATTTGCATAAGATTTTGCAAAAGAAGGCTACAGTGTAGACGTAGCCCAGGTGTGTGTGTTACACAGTGTTGTAATCATGATAGCTCCGTGATATTAGAGAGAACAGGTGGATGAGGTAATATCTTTTATTGGTCCAAAAGTGGTATTTAAGCTACCAATGCCATCTGTGAATTCAATCTCAAAATTAATAAAGAATGAGTAGAAGCTACTTTTAAAGAGAAACTGACCATTTAGGAACAGTGAAAGAGAAAAGGTTATTTCCCATTCAGAGAGAGGTGTTCAGGTCAAAACTAAGCTGTGATAGAACATCCCTCCATTCCCTCACAAAGACAAGTTTTCTTTGAATGGTTCTTTAATCTGGCCACAGAGAGCCAATTTACAGAGGAAAAATGTGAGACAACATATCCATTCAAGGATAATACTGACGTTTCTACTAATACCTAATGACTCTCTTAAATCTGAAGTTACTGCACCGACTATAAAATATGGTAGAAGTCTTGACAAAAATATGAAAAAGTAAAAAAGGAGCATTAATTTACAAACCAAAATTTATAATACAGAACACACCAGAACTTCAGAAATTATATAAAAAGCTAACTTTATTGAAAGCAAATTAACATTTAGAGAACACACTTTTTAGATGCTTCATTATGCACCTTGGATGTGACCACTGTGTGATACACACAAGCATTATTATACAATGTTTCCCTTCTCTACTGAATTATTTCCAGACTATACTAGTATAATAAATCCTAACTGATAAGCTAACTAAGTATAAATTAAGAGGCATCAGAACTGATTTTTTTTTAAAGTAAGCAAAACATGAAAATACTTTGGAGAACCATGTTTAGAAACAGTTCTACTCTGAAAAGTGACTTTATAAAAATAGCATTTTCTTACACAGCAGATCTACATTTCATGTATTCAAGGTCTACTTGCTTATTTTAGGGACAAAAATTAGTTCTTAGAGATTTTCTCACCTGGTAGGATGTGGTCACTCTTGTGTTAGTCAAGACTTATGAGCTAGAAGATTACAGATCATCTTGTACCTCAGCTATAGATTTTTTTCTTAAGATCTGCAAAGTTATATGTGTGCAAAGATATTAAAAGTAATGGCGCTGCACAGGTCTCATGAGAGCATAAATTTGGGTTGCAGAATTTTTATTACTGACCATGATGCGTAACAGGACCAAAGGCTCAGCTTGCAGAGTTGAAAGTTAGAAAAAATATATTTTTCAATAAAGCACATCTGATAAAGAAATAATTGAGACACAACATCACAGAACACTACAGTGTCATTTATTCATCCACTATTCAGAGGAGAACGATACTTTAAAACTATCATAACAATGACACAAGCTACAGTGATCCCTAGTTACTGTTGATTTCCAAGATATGGTCTCCAGTTTGTTCACACTAGCACACAGTTTTGTGAACTAATACTTTTTCACAGAGGTGCTGGAATTTTCACACACAAAACACTTTATGACAAAACGTGCATGAACAAAGTAATGTGTGCACACATCATATTATTAGTCTCAGTTATCTTTGTGAATATGTGTTAGTGCACATAATGTGTTTATGGATGTATATGCTTGTGATAAGCTGCCTATTAATAAATGGATACTGTACTGAAAATCAGTCCCTCAGATTATGCTATCTAACTCCACTTGGACCTCAGGACAGTCACAATTTTACCAGTTCATGGTAACTATTCCAAACTAGCAAGCAGCATTTGTTTTTGCAAACCAAAAGCAAACATACTGGATCTGTAATGGCTTTGAGACAAAGACATGATATGGCATGATAACAGACTTCTTCTTCTTTACGTAGCTAATAACCTGGCTTTGGATCAGATAGACATGTTTAAAACTAAACATCTATTTAAATCCCATTGTCTAAAATAGGACTTAAGTGCTCTTCTTAAACAGAGATGCTTTCCTGAGCTGGGGTCTTTATGTTTTTTGCTCATGAGTGTTTCCTGCCCAATTATCTTAAGACATGTAGCATATCTATGGAACACCATGCAGTGAAATAAGCATTTACTGAAAAAACTAATATTATTTTAAAACAAACTAGCAGGGAGATTTTCAGAGGCACAATTGGGCATTAGGCATTCCCCTGCCCCTAGGGCAGTGGTAGGCAAAAGGGCCTCCACGGGCCAGATTCGGCCTGCCAAGTGTGTGGATCCAGCCCACGGAGGCCCTGTTGCTCCCCAGCCCCCAGGCCAATTAAGAGCCTGGTGGCAGGGGAGCGCTGAGCACATGGCACTTAGGAGTGCCATGCGCTGCCTGCAGGGTGGAGGAGCGGGGAGAGCGGAGGAGCCTTCACATGCTCCCCCGCCCACAGGCCAATCAGGGCCTGGGGACAGGGGAGCTGCGTGAAGCTTCCTTTGCACTGCCCTGGCCCTGCAAGGAGTTCGCAGCACTTCAAAGTCCCACGTGCTCCTCACAGGGCAGGAGGAGACTTCCCGTGCTCCCCCACTGCTAGGCCCTGATTGGCTTGTGGGTGGGGGAGCATGCCAAGCCTCTTCCAGGGCATGGATGCCCAGTGGGAAGGGGGGGCAAAAGGGCTCCCCCATCCCCAGAGCAATCATGCTCTGGGGGTGGGGTAACTCCACCCCTTCCTGTTTAGGCTCCCTCCCCTCCAGGATGGCCTGGGGCTACTTCAAAAAATTTTGAAGTGGCCCCCGGGCAAATATTATTGCCCAACCCTGCCCTAAGGTCTTTCTAAGGGTTCAGGAAGACTTTTAAAGTAACATTTTAACAACTATTCATCTGATTATATTTCAATGGCTTAAGTAGTTTATGCTGGATATGGTCACTATGTTAAATCATGAGGGGACGATGGCAGAAAATGGGACAAATCAGGGAATATATTAAAACAATAATATAAGAACAGGCATTTGCACAGCACTTTCCATCTACAGAGCATCACAAAGCTGTTTAAAAAGGTAAGAATCAGCACCTCAATTTCATGGATATGAAAAACAATACAGAGCAGTTGCTCACGGCCACATTAATTCCATGGAAGATCAAGAACACTACCTAAGCCTCCTGCCTCTCCACCCTTTGCCTTTTCAATGGGCCACTCAGTTGTACATCTGTCAGACTAGAAAATATTCAAATACATAGGTTTTATGTGATGTACAATCAAAGCAGAAACAAATAAAGCAACACTGCAACCCCCAACTACAAAACAGAAAAACCCAAAATTTGGGCTCATGTGGATCACACAGCATCAACAATAATACAGTTAAAACTTTCATGCTGAAGTTATTTTAAATAAGTGAGAAAGATTCTACTACTTAGTCCTCAAAGGTTTTTTTAGTATTTTTTTAAATACTAGTTAGGAATTTCCAGACAGATCCTCAGTTGTGGTGAACCTGAAATATATTTGATGAATATAGTATTTTATAGTAAATTCTAAAAATAAGGGATAATTTTTAAGCTATTTTGGAAATACATGTACATATGGGCTACGTCTACACTGGCCCCTCTTCCGGAAGGGGCATGTAAATTTCACTCCTAGTCAGCAGCAGAATCACTTAAACTATTTCCTAAAAAGAAAATTTTTAAGCTACTTTGGAAATACATGTACATATGAAGAAAACTATGATCCTAGTCAGCAGCAGCAGCACTTAAACTATTTCCTAAAAAGAAATGGCACGTGCCCTCACTGAAGGCAATAAATGGATTTTATCGTGTGTTAATGACAGTATTCAGGTAACTTCCGACTGACTTGGCAACATGTACCATGTTTCAAGTCATGGTTTACTATTCACAACACAGAAATATCTACAAGTTATACAAAAACAAAACTTTCTAGCACAGAATATAAAGACAAAGTCAAAACATTTACATTAATATTTACATAGTTCTGCAGACTAATCTTAGTTCAGGACTACTTCATTCCATGATTAGCTCCTGTATAAAGTACAGTCAATTAGTTAATCTTTTGAGTCAATTAAATAAGAAATCTTTCATCAACTAGGGTTTTGGATGCCAAATTCTTCTGCCCAGCAGTATTACGTATAAACCTAAAAATCTAAAAATAATAAAACTAAGTAAGTTTCTTAGCAAATGGAGAAATATTTTAAATAATTCAGTTCCTGTACATGATACAATATTAACAATTAATTATGTACTCTGTCAAATGTCTGGACCTTCCACAACAGCACACCTTCATTAGACAGGCTCCTATACTAACAATAGGCTTCTTTCTTTGAAATCAAATGGTAAAGGACAGATATTATAGATATTATACCTCAACAGTTAAGAGGCTGAGCTAAGGGCCTCTAAAAACCTGTAAAATGTTATCAGGATAATGGTAATAACATATGATCTGGATTGTCTGTGTGTCACACTAGTGATACTGTAATATATGATGCTTTTTTTAGAGTGGAGAAACAAGCAAATTAAAGAATCCTTTAATTTTATTTGTAGAATTTTGTTATGTCTACAATAAGAATCCTTTAATTTTATTTGTAGAATCACTTCCTTCTGAAGAAGAGACTGAAACCCCCAAATATTTGACATTTGTAGTTATTACATTATAACTATATATTCATAGCCTGAACAGTTTCTATTCTATATTCCCAAAATCTTTACCACTGATGACATTTACAAACATGGTCAAATGTATCACATATGGAATTATGTGAGGTAGAAAGTGGATTAAAGTGCACATGCATGGAAATATACTCATTTTGGTGGAGACTTCCAAAAGGGAGCCAAGAGAGTTAGGTGCTCAGCTCATTAGATTTCATGGACAGAAGGGCACTTACTTCCCTTTCTGCTCCTTTGAAAGTCCCAGCATTAGTTTTTTTGAGGCCTTAATATTCATTGCCCTGTGTATTTTCTATTGAGTGCTGTTATTTGTGTCCCATACATACATGGTGCAGAAACATGCAGTGTAATTATTTTTATTCATAAATCTTTCCTTAGTTTATGAGAAAATCCAGCATTCTTTTAAATAGTTTGTTAGCATAGTTTTCTGTGAGCCCAGCCTGTTAAATACTCAGATTAGATAAACTACGTTATTAATATGGGGTTTAAAAATGGAAATTTACCTCCTGTTGCAAATATGTGAGAACAGCTGCTAGGACAAAACTTTGGGAAGCCAAATCCACAACAGAGAAAAACAGTATATCGAAGATGAGAAGTGTAGCCTCATTGCCATAAAAGAGAATGTCACTGAAAGAATGTCCTTCATCTATAGAAAGAAATTAACTTGTTGCAAAAACATAAATTAAATCTGAATTTCAGTGATAGTAATTTGTAAAGTTCCCTAATACAGGTAAACATATCTAGGATTACAAAATAATTTAGGATAAGGAAATATACCACAGAAGCATAACCATGGCATTGTTCTCAACCAAAAATAACATAACAGCTTGCTTTTAAACATAATCTACAAAGTGCCAGATTTTCAAAAATAGGTGTGCCATATTCACAATGGCATTTATACACCTACATGCAACTCATCTGAAAGCCTGAATCAAACAGTCATTAAACTGAGCCATTTTAATGTCATATGTACATATGAGTCCTTGTCACTTACATCTTGAGCAAATTGCTGACTCTGGCTCTGATTCAGCAAAGCAATTAAATGTGCTTAAATACTTTCCTGAATCAGGGTCTCAATAGCAGGAGATCTTTAATTATGTCTCCTCATTTGGTTTTCAGGAAAAAGTAATCCCTTTGTTTTAATGTATATTTTCAAGTACAGATCACTTTTTATCAATATGTAACATTTCCTAAAGAGAAATATCAATGTACACACAATAATAATAGCAAAGAAAAAAAAACAATATAAAAAGATCAGAAAACATTTTGGCCAGGAGGCATAACATAAAATAACACACCTGCTTGAATATAAGTAATTGGAGAAGAGGTATCTTCTCCCAATTTTTTCACAGCTTTAGAGATCGTGTGTCTAATCTGGTTTCAAATTATTAGCCCATTTACATATATTGTAAGGTAAATGTCATCTGACTGTGCCTTGGCACATTTCATGGAATCTATTATCTCCATTTTATTCTCTCAAGAGCTTGCCAGACAATGCCAAACCCAACTTATACTGGCTGTGGTTAGCATACCAACCTCATTCTCTGTCATTTTATTCTCCTGGGTAATAACATTCAACCTTTAAACTATCCGACAACTACAGATTCCAGCCACAGTACAAGCTGCACAAAATATATATAATACAATACTGACCTCATCACCACATGAAGTGATGCGCGGTTATCCTATGTTATATAAGTTAAATGGGGGAACACATTAGGTCTCTCTGTTATAGTACAAGATTATCAACACGTTCAGTTAAAATGCTGTAATTTTCCCCTGTTCCATTGCAACTGGTCTCTCTTTTGCCCTCTAAGAAAAGTAATAGTAATATGTTTTTAAGTACATCAGAAGCAGGAAGCTGGCTAAACAACCAGTGGGGCCCTTGGATGATCGAGATGCTAAAGGAGCACTCAAAGATGTTAAAGTCATTGTGAAAAAGCTAAATGAATTTTTTGTTTCAGTCTTCACAGCTGAGGATATTGGGGAAATTCTCAAACATGAGCCATTCTTTTTAGGTAAAAAATCCCAGATTGAGGTGTCATTAGAGGAGGTTTTGGAACAAATTGATATACTTAACAGTAACAAGTCACTGGGACCAGACGTCATTCACCCAAGAGTTCTGAAAGAACTCACATGGGAAATTTTAGAAGTAACAACGGTGATTTGTAACCTATCCTTTAAACAGCTTCTCTATCTAATGACTGGAAGATAACTAATGTGACACCAATATTTAAAAAGGGCTCTAGAGGTGATCCTGGCAAGTACAGACCAGTAAGTTAAACGTCAGTACTGGGCAAATTATTTGAAACTATAATAAAGAATAAAATTGTCAGACACATGGATAAACATAATTTGTTGGGGGAAGTCAACATGGTTTCTATAAAGGAAAATCATGCCTTACTAATCTACTAAAGTTCTTTAAGGGGGTCAACAAACATGTGGTCAAGGGGGGGTCAAGTGCATATAGTTTACTTAGATTTCCAGAAAGCCTTTGACAAGGTTCCTCACCAAAGGCTCTTAAGTAAAGTAAGTTGTCATGGGATAAGAGGGAAGGTCTTCTCATGCATTAATAACTGGTTAAGAGACAGGAAACAAAGAGTAGGAATAAATGGCAAGTTTTCAGAATGGAGAGAGATAACTAGTGGTGTCCCCTAAGGGTCTGTCCTGGGATCAATTCTATTCAACTTATTAAAGATCTAGAGAAATGGATAAACAGTGAGGTGGCAAAATTTGCAGATGATACCAAATTGCAAAGCAGACTATGAAGAGCTTCAAACTATGAAGAGCAGCAAACTAAACGATTGGACAACAAAATTACAAATTAAATTTAATGTTGATAAATGTAAAGCAATGCACACTGGAAAAAAATAATCTGAACTATATGTACAATATGATGGGGACTAATTTGGCTACAACTACTCAGAGAGAGATCTTGGAGTCATTGTGGATAGTTCTCTGAAACATCCACTCAGTGTGCAGCGGCAGTCAAAAAAGCAAATAGAATGTTAAGAATAATTAAAAAAGGGATAGAAAATAAGACAGAGAACATCTTATTGTCTCTATATAAAACCATGCTATGCCCATATCTTGAATACCATGTACAGAAGTGGTCAACTCCTCTCAAAAAAGATATATTGGCATTGGAAAAGGGTCAGAAAAGGGCAACAAAAATGATTAGGGGTTTGGAACGGATCCCATATGAAGAGAGATTAAACAGACTGGGACTTTTCATCTTAGAAAAGAGGAGACGAAGGGGGGATATGATAGAGGTCTATACAATCATGACTGGTGTGGAAAAAGTGAATAAGGAAAAGTTATTTACTTACTCCCACAATATAAGAACTAGAGATCACCAAATGAAATTAATAGGCAGCAGATTTAAAATAAATAAAAGAGGAGGTTACTCACCTCCTGTAACTGACATTCTTCGAGATGAGCATCCCTGGGTGTGCTCCACATCAGGTGTAGAGCATCCCAGCCCCTCTGGACAGAGTTTCTTCAGCAGTGCCTCAGAGGAGGCTGTGCATGTGTGGTGTGCAAAGTGAGTGGGCGCCCTTGCTAGTTATGCGCATGCGTGGCCCCCATCTCCCTTCAGTTCCTTCTCTACCTGGAACCTGGTGGAGGAGCATGATTTACATGATTTCTTTTTTTTTTAATGTTTCCAAAGTAAAGGGGAGAAAGGGAGAGTAGTGAAGCACCCCCAGGGACACTCATCTCGAAGAACGTCAGTTACAGGAGATGAATAACCTCCTCTTCTCCTTCGAGAAGCGTCACTGGGGGTGCGCCACATCAGAGGACTACAAGTGGTCTATCTTATGGAGGTAGGGACTTTGGATCGGGTAAGTATGCTGTCTGCAGGACAGCTTTCGCTAATTTAGTGTGTCGTAAAGGACCCAAGGCAAGAGAGTAGTGTTTTGCGAAAGTGTGATCCAAGGACCATGTTGCTGCTGCACAAATGTCCTCCAGTGGAACTTTTCTGAGGTATGTGACTGAAGTTGCCACTGCCCTTGTAGAGTGTGCTTGGCTTGGAGCAGATGAGTAGCAGATATTGATGCACTCCACGATCCAATGGGATAGCCTTTGTGATGATATTTTCTCCCCCATGTTATATTTGCGATGGAAACAAACTGGTGTGGGGAGGATCTGAATGATTTTGTTCTGTCAATATAGAAAGAGAGAGCTCTTTTGACATTGAGAGTGTGCATCTATGCTTTAAAGGCATTGGAGTGGGGCTTTGGGAAAAACACAGGAAAGTGTATTGTTTGATTAATGTGAAAGGCTGTGTGGACCTTAGGTAAAAATTTTGGGTGCGGCCTCTTGGACACTCTGTTTTTAAGAAAAATGGTAAAGGGTGGCCCAGACATGAGAGCGGCCAGTTCGCTTACTCTGCGTGCTGAGGTGATAGCCGCTAGGAACGCTATTTTAAGTGTTAAGTGGAGTAAGGAGCATGTGCCCATAGGTTCAAAGGGTGGCTTTATTAATGTTGTCAGGACTAGGTGGAGGTCCCATGGATCTTATGGGGGTGACATGTCCGGGTATAGAGATTGCAGACCCTTCACGAACCGTTTAGTTGTGGGGCGTGCAAATAAAGTGGTGTCATCCAGTGATGCGTGGAATGTTGTTATATTGCACTCTAATTGAGGCTAAGGAGAGTTGAGGCTGTTTTAGGTGCAGCAAGTATCCAGAATTACCGGGAGTGGGACTGTTTGTGGCGGTATGTTGCGCTCGCTGGCCCAGTGTGTAAAATGCATCAATTTACTAATATATGTTTTCCTTGTTGCAGGAGCTCTGCTGTGAAGGAGAATCTCCCGGACTTGCTGGGAACACTGGAGCTCTATGTCAGAGAACCACTGAGGTGCCATGCTTTTAGATGGAGCATCAGGAGTTGAGGGTGAGATGTCCTAATTTGCGGGTGATAGAGGATGTGAGGTACTTGTGGTAATGTGACTGGATAGTTGTGTCATCCTGAGTAGTAGGGGAAACCAAGGTTGCCGCAGCCAGCATGGAGCTATGAGGATGATATTTGCTTTGTCCCGCCATATCTTTATGATGACTCTGTTGAGGAGGGAAAAGGGAGGAATGCATATAGCAGGGGTGTATTCCATGTCAGAATCAGAGCATCCCCTAGGGAGTGTTTGCCCATGCCTGCTCTGGAGCAATACATTGTGCATTTTCTGTTAGATCTGGTGGCAAACAGATACATACAGAGGTGGTTCCATTGGCTGAATATTTCTCACAGGATTGTATGGTCCATCTCCCATTCCTGTTCCTGGGGGAGGGCTCTGCTTAGGGAGCCTGCTGTTGTATTGAGAGCCCCGGGTATATGGCATGCGGATAATCGGATATCCCATGCTATGGCCCAGTTCCAAAGGGCTATGGATTCTCTGCACAGGGGCAGTAACCATGCTCCACCTTGTCGGTTTACATAGAACATGCATGTTGTGTTGTCGGTGTAGACATAGATGTGTATCCCTTTTGCTTGAGGGAGCAGTTTTTGACATACTAGGCGGACAGCTCTGAGTTCTAACATATTTATATACAGTGCACACTCTGCAGAAGACCATAGGCCTTGAACTGTTCCTCCCTCCATATGAGTGCCTCACCCTGTGAGGCGTCCGTGGTGATGGTCACTGTGGGCTCTGT